GAAAAAGTCTCTGAGAGGACCTGCCGACCCCCAAGGGGTTAGGAGTCTCTTGTGAGGTACTCTACTGAAGGCTTTACTGAAATGCAAATAAACATTATCATATTCTTTATTACTGTCTACTGCCTCAAATGGTTTATTGAAGAACATCAGTAAATTTGTCAGGCAGGAACGACCTCTCATGAACCCATGCTGAGATTCATTAATCAAATTATGCTCTTCAAGATGACTTCTAATAATATCAGCTATAATCGATTCAAATAATTTGCCCACTGTAGACACCAGGCTGTTTGGATGGTAATTTGATAGAATGGACCTATCCCCTGATTTGAATATAGGAACTACATTAGCTGTCTTCCACATCTCTGGCACAACACCAGTTAAGATGGACACATTAAACACGCTCGTTAATGGCTGACTAAGTTCTATCTTGCATTCTTTAAGTACCCTGGAAAACAAGGTCCTGGGGACTTATTTTGTTTCAGTTTATCTATTTGTTTGATAACCATGTCCCTCGTGACAGTATTATTCGTTAATTTGAATTCTTCAGGAACTGAATAATTGTTAATTTCTGGAATCTCATTAACGTCTTCTTGAGTAGAGAAATGTTATTTTAGTGCCAGGAATGTCTTTCTTGTTTATTCTGGACCCTATTTGGAAATTGGCATCTTTTGAAATTTGTGTGAAATTGGCAAAATTGCTAAATTCTGACCACTTTATTGGATAGTTGAAATCAGTAAATGGGTGGTTTCTTGTACTCATTCGATAGAAAAAAATGGAGTTCTAGCAAAATAGTTATGATTTTTGTCGACTAGTACATTGGAATTGGCCGAAAATAGGGCTCAAAGTGGGCAAAATCGCCGATCCATAAACATCGTCCAGACCACTAACTTCGCAGGAGCATAATTCCGTAAGTTTTCCATCAAATTTTATACTTTTGGTGTCATTATGGTTGGGAAAAGATCCTCTATCTTTTCATAAGAAAAAATATTTTTTTTTTTTTTTTTTTTTTTTTTTTTTTTTTTTTTTTTTTTTTTTTTTTTTTTGAAATTTGGGGGACCCTGAGAACAAGACTCTGAGAGGGCCTGTCGACCCTGAAAGGGTTAAGCCTCCTGTTAACTCATTTGGGGTCGTTATTATTTGACCTAATATCTTTTTGGGGAATATATATGCTCTGAGCTCTTTGCACATTATTAACCCTTTGACTGTTTACGCCGTATATATACGTCTTACGCGCCACTGTTTCTGACGGATTTATACGCATAAATTCTAGCGGCTTCAAATCAAGCAGGAGAAAGCTGGTAGGCCCACATGTGAGAGAATGGGTCTCCATGGTCAGTGTGCACCATATGAAAAAAAATCGGGGAGCCAGTGGTGCATTGTGGGAATGCTATTTCAGTTGTCCTTTTTCAGCATGCTTAGTGGTAAGAAATATGTGACTCCCCAGCAAATCTGGGACTCTTCTCTTCCCAAGTGATGCTCTAACACAGATGGAAGTGTCAGTGACGATCAATTTCATGATTTCGAGGAGTTTGAGACCAAAAGCAATGGAGGAGGAGGAGGAAGAAGAGGAGGAAGAAGAGGATGAGGAGGAGGAAGAGGAGGAGGAAGAGGAAGAGGATGAGGAAAAGAGGAGGAGGAGGAGGAGGAAGAGGAAGAGGAGGAGGAGGAAGAGGAGAAAAAGGAGGAAGAGGAAGAGGAGGAGAAGAGGAAGAGGAGAAGAGGAGGAGGAATAGGAAGAGGAGGAGAAGAAGAAGATGTAATAATATTGTTCCCTTGAAGCAAGAAAAAAAAAGTCCACCCCATGACAGTGACAAGATAAGGGGAGATAACATCTGATAAGAGCTGATGTTTGGTGAGCATAAACGAGGGTGGGGGAGGGTGCAGCTGATAAGAAAAGATTAGATGACCATCTCCCTCCCTTTGTTTTTGCTGGTACACAAACATTTCTGTCTGTCTATTTGTCTGTCTGCCAAGCTCCCTGTCTATCCGTCTAGCTCTGTCTCAGAGAGAGCCACAAGACTGTGTCATCATCACGTTTACTCACATCTTCAAGCTGAGTTTGGCACTTTGTCTTGATTTTTTGGGTTATCCTAGGTAATTTACAGTATGTATACTTGTATTTATGTGTACCTGTGAGACAGAGATAGACAAACAGATAGAAAGAGAGAGACAGATTGAAAGAGATAGAATGAGGGAGAAAGATAATTAGATAGAATGGAGGGGAAGCAGCATCCAACCCCATTGTTTTAACAGGCGGTAGGGGGAGTGAGTAATGAGATAATATGTCATTTTGACAGCTGCCAACTCCTGACTCAAAAAAATTATAAGCCACACACTCGCACACAAGTCAAGCTTGCTGAATGAAGATAATAGCAGTTACATGAAAGTATCTAGTGACTATATATGTGTATATATATTATAGAAATCAGAAGGAAGGAAGAATGGAAGGCAGGAATGAAGGAAGGAAGGTATTCTATTCAAGATTGATGGACTGACCACATCGGCTCAAGGTTGAGGGACTGATTACCTCATTCTCCTCCTGTTCTTCAAGTTTCTCCTATGTATGGACTGATGAAGCCTCTGTGTGGCGAAATGTTTCCTTAATAAAGATACCCAAGAGTTGCACATGTGTCTAATTTATCAACGTGTCGGTTCTGTGAACCATTCATCTACAAGGAAAAAAGTAAGGAAAGACGAAGGAAGGTAGGAAAGGAATGCAGGAAAGTAGGAAGGAAGGTAGGAAACGAATGCAGGAAGGAAGGAGTGATGACACACGACCATTTACCTAGGATAACTACAATGCCTGCACTTTAAAGGAGGGGCTTGGGATATTGGCAGTTTGGAGGGATATGTTGTGTATCTTTATACGTATATGCTTCTAAACTGTTGTATTCTGAGCACCTCTGCAAAAACAGTGATTATGTGTGAGTGTGGTGAAAGTGTTGAATGATGATGAAAGCATTTTCTTTTTGGGGATTTTCTTTCTTTTTTGGGTCACCCTGCCTCGGTGGGAGACGGCCGACTTGAAGAAAAAAAAAAAACTACATAACACAACTGCCTGCTAATACTTTGAAGAAAACTGCTCAGACAAGGTGTTTTGTCTTTGCACATAAAAAAAAAAGTCCACAAAAATGCACACACACTGGTTTTATGTGTGAGAAGTGTAAAACACCATTGTGTATGAAAACATGTTTCAGAGTTCCACAAGCTGCAGAACTTCTAGGAATATGTTCGGTGACTGTACATTGGTATATATATTATAGAACAATAGTAATAAAAAAAATTTTGTGTGGTTTTTGTAAACAAGTTTTGCAAACAATATATTGATAATTATGTTTGTGTGTTGTATACATCGAGTGTATATATGTACATTGCACCTTACTTTGGTCTCACAGGCCACGTAAGTTATGTGAAAAAATAAAATAGTGAAAAAAACAACAAGCCTTCAATTACAAGTAAACCAAAGTTTACCAGGTGAGTGGCAGTCGCCGCTGTTGCCATACATGGCTCATTTTCTGCAAACTTCACACCTCTATATCTCGGTAAGTACTGATGGCAAAATTTATTTTTTTGGACTAAAACACTCAGAAAAATAATCTTAACATTTTCATAAGAAAAAATAATTTTTTTTTCCGAATATTTTGCGACATAGAATGACAGTTTCAGAAAGGGGCCTGCGACAGTCAAAGGGTTAAGAAAAAATTCATAATCGCAGATCCCTTCATAATCGTAAGTATGATCATCAATAAAATTATTAGCTGGATTACCCCAATCTAGATTAGACAGGTGTTCCTTAATCCATTATAATTGGCAGAAGGAAAATCAGGGACTTTTACCATATTATCATTATTCTCATATTCCCAGCTAATGCTAAAAGTGATGGATTTGTGATCACTAGCACCAAGCTCTTCAGCGATCTCCAGATTATTTATGAGACTAGGTCGAGCAAATTATTACCTTCATAAAGATTACCCTGCTCACACTCCAACAGCACATCAAGTCCTAAAAACCATTTGTCTCCTTTCGCTCCTATCTAACACGCTCATGCATGATTGCTGGAAGTCCAAGCCCCTCGCACACAAAACCTTCTTTCCTAGGCCGATCGCTACCCCACCTTCCCTCCACTACAGATTTATACACTCTCAAAGTCATTTTATTTTGTTCCATCCTCTCTATATGTCTGAACCACCTCAACAACCTCTCCTCAGCCCTCTAGATAATAGTTTGGTAATCCTGCACCTCCTCTTAATTTCCAAACTATGAATTCTCTGCATTATATTCATACCACACATTGCCCTCAGACACGACATCTCCACTGCCTCCAGCCTTCTCCTTGTTGCAACATTCACCATCCATGCTTCACACCCACATAAGAGCATTAGTATAACTATACTCTCATACATTACCCAGTTTCCTTCCATGGACATAGTTCTTTGTCTCCACAGACTTCTCAGTGCACCACTCACCTTTTTTCCCCACGTCAGTTCTTTGATTCACCTTGTCTTTGATTGACCCATCTGCTGACACGTCCACTCCTAAATAATGGAATACATTCACCTCCTTCATATTCTCTCCCTCCAATCTGATATCCAATCTTTCGTTCCCTAATTTTTTTTATCTTCATCACCTTACTCTTTCCTATAGTATTCATTTTCAGTTTTCTTCTTGAACATACCCTACCAAACTTATCCACCAACCTCTGCAACTTCTTTTCAGAATCTCCCAAAAGCAGTGTCATCAGCAAAGAGCAATTGTGACAACTCCCGCTTTGTGTTAGATTATTTATCTTTTAACCCCCAAACCTCTCGCTAAATCCTGAGCATTCACTTCTCTTTAATAAAACTGTATTACAGTATAAGCACCATATTGACATCTTGAGAAATCCTTAAACTTGGTGATGAGCAAATTTTTTTTTTTATAATGATTGTTACTAGTTTGGTTAAAAAATAATTATCAGATAACTAGTTGCACATTAAAATCCTATTTTATTTTCATACCAGACTCAAATGGATGTAGCTGCTGAGATGAATGCATTAAAAGAAGAGCACCGTTGCTTGCGAGAGAAGATAACAGCTGTAAATTGCCATGAACAACAGTTAAATGAAGAGGAAGCAAGAGTAGAACAGCTAAAACTACAACTAGAACAAGAGAAGGCAAAGGTGAGAGTAGAAATATTTACTTAAATTATGAAAAACATTGTGATTGAGATATACAGTAGGGCCCCACTTATTCGTTAGGTTAGGTTCCAGGTTACTGCTGGAAAGCAGACTTCGCCGGAAAGCAGAACTCCATTTGTTTTCCATTTATAAATGCATATAAATGACAGATAACAAGTTTACACTAACATATATTAAGTTAGTAATAGAACTAGGCATTAAAAAGTAAAATACACACACAGTACACTCATTATTTACCTCAAAATATTTGTAGTCTTAATGTAGGGCAAAAGGTGAGTAGTATTTACTCTAAGAAGTCAGGTGTGGTAGCCCTCTTGGCCACCCCACCCACACATACTATATTACGATGCTTAAAGCTCCCTAGAGCGATAAAATGCATATACAGTACATGCATTACTTACCTTAAAATATTTGTAGTCTTAATGGTCTTAATGGAGGGCGAGAGGTGAAAAGTATTTATTTGTAGAAAGCCGTGTGGGAGGTATGGCATCCTGCCTGGCCACTTACACCTACTACGACATTAAGCTCCCTTGAGCAATAAAATGCACATATAGTACACTCATTAATTACCTTAAAATATTTGTAGTCTTAATGTAGATTGAGAGGCGAGTTTTGTTTGTATGAAGTAAGGTTGGGAAGTATGGATAGCCAGGAAGGGCAGCCCTCACCACCCCACCCACCCACACATAAGGTAAACAAACCAGATGAACGCGTCTGGTTTTTGCCACAAGTCCTACAAGTTGCCTAGCTACCACAAGTTGCCTGGCTACCACAAGTCCTACAAGTTGCCTGGCTACCACAAGTCCTACAAGTTGCCTGGCTACCACAAGTCCTACAAGTTGCCTAGCTACCATAAGTTGCCTGGCTACCACAAGTCCTACAAATTGCCTAGCTACCACAAGTCCTTCAAGTTGCCAGGCTACCACAAGTCCTACAAGTTGCCAGGCTACCACAAGTCCTACAAGTTGCCTGGCTACCACAAGTCCTTCAAGTTGCCTAGCTACCACAAGTCCTTCAAGTCACCTGGCTACCACATCTCATATTTATGTTAATTTATTCTACTGTGGGGTGTATTTAGATGGATTAAGCAAAATGTCTATATTAATGTTTTATACGATATTTAATGCTCCTTAGAGATTATTGTTATTATTATCATCATTAATATGGCATCTTCAAGACTAATAAGACACTCTTAGTGATTTAAATGTGTACCTGCATGCCAGCACAGTGTGTAAGTTGACTTAGGTACAGGTACACATAAGTATAATTATCAGTTATAATAATAATGTCCTAGGTAGTAGGTTGGTAAACAGCAACCGCCCAGGGAGGTACTACCGTCCTGCCAAGTGAGTGTAAAACGGAAACCTGTAATTGTTTTACATGATGGTAGGATCGCTGGTGTCTTTTTTCTGTCTTATAAACATGCAAGATTTCCGGTACGTCTTGCTACTTCTACTTACACTTAGGTCACACTATACATACAAGTACAAGCATATATATACACACCCCTCTGGGTTTTCTTCTATTTTCTTTCTAGCTCTTGTTCCATACACAAATAACCCGCACATAAAAGAGAGAAGCTTACGACGACGTTTCGGTCCGACTTGGACCATTGACAAAGTCAATGGTCCAAGTCGGACCGAAACGTCGTCGTAAGCTTCTCTCTTTTATGTGCGGGTTATTTGTGTATTGTTCCAGTCACGGTATTGTGCCTTTTTGTTATTTATTTAGCTCTTGTTCTTTTCCTCTTACCTCCATGGGGAAGTGGAACAGAATTCTTCTTCCGTAAGCCGTGCATGTTGTAAGAGGCGACTAAAATGCTGGGAGCAAGGGGCTAGTAACCTCTTCTCCTGTATATATTACTAAATGTAAAAGGAGAAACTTTTGTTTTTCCTTTTGGGCCACCCCGCCTCGGTGGGATACGGCCGGTGTGTTGAAAGAAAGAAGACTTCTGTTCTGACTTGGTGAAAGGATAATATAAGTCAAAAGTTTTTCTGCTGTGTTTATTTTGCTCCCTTTACACCCAGGATAACAGGCCTTTGGAAGTGGTACATTGAAAGAAGAATAATAATGTAGGTATGTAGTCTGCCTGGGCTACATAGCTACATGATATTTAATGTGGCCCAGAGCCATATTATTACCATCGACATACCATGTTCACTGAGTTTATTTCTAACAACTACCTTTAGATGTCATCATAAACAAAGGGAGAAGTAATGAATAATTCATGCCGAGAATTGTAAACAAAAGTGTTACGTATTAAGGGGAGTGACGTAATGTTTTCCCTCTGCCCGGCTACCACACCTCCATAGTATATAAAAAAAATGTTTGTGTGTTATGTAACGTGTTTCTTATATAATTTTGAAGAAAATGTAATATAGATGGATTAATGAAAATGTCTATATTAACGTAAAATTAGACACTTAATGTGCCCAAGAGAGATTATTATTAGTATTACGTAATGTTTTCCCTCCATAACATATAAACAGCATGTTTATAGGCTATGTTATGTGTTTCTTATATAATTTTGAAGAAAATATCATAGATGGATTAATGAAAATGTTTACAGTGACAAAATTAGACATTTAACCTGCCCAAGGGTGATTATTATTACATAATGGAGAATGTAATCAAAGCAGGTGGCCCATGCCATATTTGAAAGACCACTTGCTGTATAGAAAGTTTTGGTCATAATTTGAAGTCGCCGTATTAGCGGAATGCCCTAAGGCAAAACACTGAAAAGCGGGGCCCTACTGTACTGTATTGTAGTTTATTACGCTTCTTGCTACCCCTCTACCCTAGCACTATCCCCTGCCCTGCTGTGCTGTATGACCCTTGTAGGTTTAGCGCCTCTTTTTTATCATAATAATGTAGTGTATTTCAAAATTAGTTTATACAGTAAACTGTGTATGTCATAATCAAATATCTAATATAAATTTACTTGGCAGCTAAAACTGAACCAAGATATTCTTGTTCAAGAAAAGATGTTCATGGCCCAGACTCAAAAAGAAATTGAGGAAACAAGAAAAGAAGTTGATGTTATTCGTCATGAGCAGGAGATCAAATTTAATCAGATTACTTCACAGACCCGAGCTCTTCACATGCACCAAGAAAGAATAGAAAATGTAACTATTCTTTACATCAATAAGACATAAGTTAAATAACAAATATGTGGGTTATTTGTTGGGCTTCAGTCTGGTAAACTGGTTTTTCTAAATTCCTTCATAAGTATAACCTTGCTCACACTCCAACAACACGTCATTAGAAGCCACTTGTCTCCATTGTGATCTAACATGTTCGCATAAACCTTCTGTTTAGAAAAATGTGCTTTCAGATTCCCCCTTTCCCCCAATTTGTCCTACATGGGAAATAAAATGTTGGGACTTACCACAGTTAAATGGTTAAGAGTTCATTATCTCAAATGAAAACTAAATTTAGTTTAAATTTTCACAGTGTTAACAATATAGTAAAAGTAAGTTTATTTTACAGGAGAACTTGAAATTAGAACAGTTAAAGGAAGAAGTGATTCGTTTATCAAAATTAGGCTTATGTGCCACTTGCCGGACAAAAGGAGCTGGAGAATTCCTGCTGGAAAGGTTAAAACCACAAAATGGACGTCTCCCAGGGGATGGTGGAGAAGGACATATCAGTAGCTCTCTAAAAGTGGAGAATCATAATGTAAGATTCTGCATGTTAATTATACCATTTGGAAATTATGTACAGCACCCATAAGTTAAAAATTAATTTAAGAAATATTAACAGTAAAACCTTGATTTATCAGACTAATAGGGAGACAGGATATCTGCTAATCCTGATTGTCCATTAAAGTTAAATAATGAGTGTGTTTTGCCATGATTGTAACAACAGAAGACATTTCTGTAACCAACAGACTTTGCCATTATTTGTGAATCAATTTACCCAGCAAATCATATCAATAACAGGCAATTTTGTAATAAATGAACTTTGTCAGTTTTTTTCCAAAATCAATTACTCAGTGGATCATAACAATAACAAACAGTTTCAGAAACAATGGGCTTTGTTGTTTCCAGAATCCACTTACCCAGTGGATGTTTTCTGTTAAATCAAAGTTTTACTAGATTTAACTTGCAGTGCCCAAAATTCACACTGACTAAATGTTAAACATTTTCTCCAAAACCTAGTTACCTTATATCACCTTTGATATACCTTTGAAGAGTTTCAAGAGATAATCTACTCTGAGCCTGGCCATGGGCCAGGCTCATCTGGTGCTTGCCTGGTCAACCAGGCTGTTGCTGCTGAAGGCCTGCTGCCCCACATATCCATCACAGCTTGGTTGATCTGGCACCTGGTGAAGATACTTGTCTAGTTTCCTCTTGAAGGCTTCTACACTTGTCCCAGCCATGTTTCTGATATAGTCTGGGACCCTGGATGTTGATACAGTGTTCCCTTATTGTCCCCACTGCACCTCTGCTCCTCCCTGGGTTTATTTTACATTTCCTCCCTTATCTCTCACTCCAGTATGTTATGGCAGTGTGCAGATTTGGGACCAGGCCCTCGAGTATTTTTCCAGGTACATATATATTTTCATGTATCTCTCTCTCTCCTCCACTCCAGTGAATACATAACGACTGGGTTGACTATAATAGTGGTAGGTTTTCTGCCGTTTCTTAAAACAATGAGCTTTCATATTGGCCACCAAATTTAATGGAATGACATAGTGGCTCTCATGTAACATTACTAATTTATATTCCAAATTCTCAGAAATGCTCTCATTTAAACTTGCATTTTATGAAATACTTTGAGAATAACAGAAGACAATCATTCAGATAAGTGCATCTGGGAAAACCTTAAAAAATCTCTTTGTAGGTAATACCAAACTACCATTTGCCCTCAAGATCTGCGAGTTCTGCTTCCAGTGCTGGCTGGGCTCAGATATTTATGAGACCTAAAAGGTTGCACAAGGTATCATGTCATTTTCTGTTAGATGGACCCAACAACAGCATTTGAGTATAGAGGGCAGCAAGTGCCTGAACAGCATCCTTTTTTTTTTTTAAACAATCTGTACCCAAAACTTTTGTGTAATTCATTCCTGCTGATTGTGAGGAAAGTACAAGAATGTAGCTACTCTACAAGAGAATTTTGAATGTAGCTGTTTAAGAAATCAGATCAACCAAAAGACCAAAATGGAATTTTAGTGATTATTTAGAACAATTCCAAATAATTTTATGCATATAGAGTACATAACAATACAAAAATAGTGTATGACTTAACACAACCCTTTTGCGGTCAGTGCCATAGAACTACAGTTTTGAGGTCAGAGTCTGTGCTGTAGAAATATATAATGAGCTCAGCTCATTCAGATAAGCTGTGAACAGTAAATTTTCGCCTGGATATGAGCGAATGGGTCTATATGGCGAGTGCACACCACATAAAAAAAAAAACCTGCATCATGCAGTGCTTGATGGAAAAAAAAAATTGACTGTGTATAGTTTAAAATAACTACTTCACGGTGTATTTTTGGATGGTATTTATAGTTTTAATCTTGGTTTCATTTGATAGAACAAAAGATATATTACAGAAATAGAAATGATTTTGACTGGTTTCAAGACTGGAAGTAGCTTGAAATTGAGCTCAAAGAAGTGGAAATACAGTGGACCCCCGCATAACGATCACCTCCGAATGCGACCAATTATGTAAGTGTATTTATGTAAGTGCGTTTGTACGTGTATGTTTGGGGGTCTGAAATGGACTAATCTACTTCACAATATTCCTTAGGGGAACAAATTCGGTCAGTACTGGCACCTGAACATACTTCTGGAGAGAAAAAATATCGTTAACCGGGGGTCCTCTGTATTAAATTTTTGCCAATATTCCAGAGGGCACAAATCATGTCATTCGTCCAGTACCTGATATGGCCCCATCTAATTTGCATTTACAAATATGCTGACATTATTTATACAATTATTACAATAATGCAGTAGTCTGCATAACAAATCTATTTTTTATGTGACTAAAAATTCAAAATGGAAATAAATTGTAATAATGTAGGAAAGCCCTGGGGACATTACTGTTGAACAAAGGAAATGTCTTAGTCCCAGGAATATCTACATTCTGGAACCTATTTTTAAATTGGCATTTCTTAATTTTGTACGAATTTGGCTAGATTACTGATTTCTGATCACTTTATTGGGTATTTGAAATAGTTAAAGGGATGGTTTCATGTGTTCAGTCAGTATAATGGAAGGATACTAGTGAAATAGCTAAGAGTTTGGTTGACCGGAACAATGAAATTGACCTAAAACAGGACCCAAAATGGGCGAAATTGCCAGGGCACAAATATCACCAAGACTGCTAACTTTGTGAAAGCATAATTTTACCTTTGGTGTCATTACCTTCGGGAAAAGATTCTCTAGTATTTCATAAAATATAGTGGACCCCCGCCTTACGAACGCATCGCGTTACAGTAAATCCGCCATACGAAGCATTTGAACGCAAAAATTTTGCCTCGCCTCACGATAAAAAAACTTGCCTTACGTGATTCGTCCGGGACGCATCCCACGTGTGGCCTCAGCTGCCCCGTGGGTGCCAGTGTTTACAAGCCAGCCAGTGAGGTCGCATCTAAGCATACATTCGGTACATATCATATTATCACAGTGTTTTCAGTGCTTGTAACTGCAAAATAAGTCACCATGGGCCCCAAGAAAGCTTCTAGTGCCAACCCTGTGGTAAAAAGGGTGAAAATTATTATGGAAATGAAGAAAGAGATAATTGCAAAGTATGAAAGGAGTGTGTGTCTCGGAGCTGGCCAGGTTGTATACAAAACCTCAATCAACCATCGCTACTATCTTGGCCAACAAAAGGCAATCAAGGAAGCTGCTCTTGCAAAAGGTGCAAGTTTGTTTTCGAAACAGAGATCGCAAGTGATAGAAGATGTTGAGAGACTGTTATTGGTGTGGATAAACGAAAAACAGATAGCAGGAGATAGCATCTCTCAAGTGAAAAAGATAGGAAGTTGCATGACAATTTAATTAGAAAAATGCCTGCAACTAGTGGTGATGTGAGTGAATTTAAGGCCAGCAAAGGTTGGTTTGAGAGATTTAAGAATCGTAGTGGCATACATAGTGATATAAGGCATGGTGAGGCTGCCAGTTCAGACCAAAAACCGACTGAAAAATATGTGAAGGAATTCAAGGAGTACATAGACAGTGAAGAATTGAAACTTGAACAAGTGTTTAATTGTGACAAAACAGGCCTGTTTTGAAAGAAAATGCCAAGCAGGACCTACATTACTCAGGAGGAAAAGGCACTCCCAGGACATAAGCCTATGAAAGACAGGCTTACTCTTTTGATGTGTTCTATTGCTAGTGGTGATTGCAAAGTGAAGCCTTTATTGGTGTATCACTCTGAAACTCCCAGAGCGTTCAGGCAAAACAATGTCCTCAAGGCTAATTTGTGTGTGTTGTGGAGAGCAAACAGTAAGGCATGGGTAACTAGGGACTTTTTCTATGACTGGTTACACCATGCATTTGCCCCCACTGTGAAAAATTACCTAATGGAAAAGAAATTGGACCTTAAGTGCCTCCTGGTATTAGACAATGCTCCTGGTCATCCTTCAGACTTGGCAGAGCGACTTTCTGGGGATAGCTTCATTAAGGTCAAGTTTTTGCCTACTAATACCACTCCTCTCCTGCAGCCTATGGACCAGCAGGTCATTTCAAACTTCAGAAAACTCTACACAAAAGCTATGTTTCAAGAGTGCTTTGAAGTGACCTCAGACACTCGATTGACTCTAAGAGAGTTTTGGAAAGATCACTTTAGTATCCTCTGTTGTGTAAACCTTATAGGTAAGGCTTGGGAGGGAGTGACTAAGAGGACCTTGAACTCTGCTTGTAAGAAACTGTGTAGAAGAAAGGGATTTTGAAGGGTTTGGGGCTAACCCTGAGAAGCATATGCCAGTTGTGGAATCCATTGTGGCATTGGGGAAGTCCTTGGGGTTGGAGGTTAGTGGGGAGGATGTGGAAGAGCTTTTGGAGGAGGACAGTGAAGAACTAACCACTGATGAGCTGCAAGATCATCTTCAACAGCAAGAGGCCAGACCTGAGGAAACTGCTTCAGAGGAGGGGGGAGAGAAATTGAGGAAGTTGCCTACTTCAAAGATTAAGGAAATGTGTGCAAAGTGGGTTGAACTGCAAACCTTTACGGATAAAAATCACCCTGACACAGCTACTGCAAGCCGTGTTAGCAACCTGTGCAATGAGAATGTTATGGCCCATTTTAGGAAAGTCTTAAAGGAACGGGAGGTACATAGCTCTATGGACAGAATTGTTGTGCGACAGAGATCCAGTGACTCTCAAGCTGGTCCTAGTGCCATTAAAAGAAAAGGGAAGTCCTAAATTTTGGAATGGTTTTCCCCCTTTCAAAACAATAACTTCCACACCCCCCCTCCCCCCCCCCAAAATCACGCATCCCCAAATTTTCAAAAAAGGGAAAGTGTCATGTATTCTATTCTTAGTAGAGTATAATTTGCATGTCTCTTCAGTTTTTGTATTAAAATTAATTTTTCAGTGAAAAAAAAGGGGTTTTTTTTTCATACTTTGGGTGTATGGAACGGATTAATTTGATTTCCATTATTTCTTATGTGAAAATTAATTTTCGGCTAACGATAATTTCACTTACAATGAGCTCCGGAACAATTAAAT